ATGAATTACAATGGAATAAAACCCTCTATTTATAGGGAGAGGGTGACTTAGCCACCAAGTAATAAACCCTGAGATCTCTGTAAAATATAGACATTCACCTTAAATAGAATTCTATTTATAACAGATTGAGGTATTTTTTGAAACATAGTAAAAAGAAAAGTAAGGTACATAAATTGGAATTGAGCGAGTATAACTCTCCAAACTCTAACTAAGCTTATAAAGACTTACATATAGAACAGTCCAAGAACATTTGATTAACCTAATTAATTCAGCTATAAATCAAGCAACAACAAGAAGTATTATAGTAAGTTAGGTAAATATCATCTGCTACTTAATATTCAATGAGTATGGTGGAACTCCAACAGTGAATGTCACAATTGTCCCTTTTATGAAATTTCCTTTGCCAAGTCCTTGAGGCTGCTGGAAGATGTGACAGGGAAGAGCTCTAGGGTTTTGAGGGGTGTATTGCTACTAATACAAGGAAGAGAAGTTGGATTTGGAACTATGTCCATCATCAATATGAAATGTGGACCTTGTGCTCTCATCATGCAAGTTTCCATATCACATTTTGTTGGAATAGGAGGATTCATATTCCTGAGAGAATTCATCAGTCTGGTGGATGCATCTTCAACTTCTGCCTATATTATATGACATTACAGGAGAAGTACGTCAACTAGGATTTAACTAATAAACAAGAAGAATGCAAAAAAAGATTTACTATATTAATTAGTGCATTTTAACATGTTGTGACAGGTAATCTGCCTTAATTTCATAGTTACTAGCCCACTTTTGATGATTAGTCATGTTACTGTAGTTAACTTTTGGTGATCAAATATTGTAAAGGATCTTACACGATCAGTTCATAGAAGTTAAACTCCAGTAAAATATACTAGGCTAGCATAATTGCTGTTTCTGTATATTTTTTACTCCCTCACGCCCACTGTCTTCTAATTCAGCAAGTAATCCTACAATATATACTACTACTATAAGTTACATATATGTATTTAGTTTTTTGATAGATTCATACTACCAAATGTAGCTTATGAGATGATGAGCAGAAATGACTGATTTATTTTTTAAAACCTAAATATACATAATAAAATTCATTTTTAGCTTTAGTAGCTGCCATGGCACATAAGAAACTTACATAATGAGTAACTAAAATACAAGAATTTTTTTTTAAAATCAAATGCCACCATTTTTAGCTTGTATTGCTGGCTAATGCATGTCATTTATATGGTCACAGTATAAAAAATTCCATTTAACGTAACTTATTGTAGCATATTACCTGCCTTAATTTCTACATTACTAATCCTACTTATAATTGATTGTTACTTGTAATTATCTGCTAGGTAATCAGTGTATTACAGTTAAACTCGTAACTTGCTGATAGCATAAGAGGGAGAAAAAGAAAGTTGTAGGGCGCTTACCATTAATCTAGCCGATGAAGTAAAAAGAGGTAAATTGTTGCTGCAATCGAGGTCGTTATTCATAGACATTTGCTGCTGTTGGTTCATTTGCATAAGAAGCTTTTTCTTAAGCTTCTTTTTTTCTCTAGCTTTGTGGTTTTGAAACCAATAGAAAAAAAATTTGGTCTCAATCTTGCCAAACAAAGACAAGTGATCTGTTACTCTTTGTAATTGAGCAGCATTTGGATTTGTCAATCCTTTCCTATACATTTCTTGTAATGTCATGAGCTGCTCTGGGGTTGGACTCCATCTTGTATGACCACTCATCTTTTTTTAGTTCGTTTTTTTTTCGTATTTCAAAAGATCGATTATTTTACATTTCCTTTTTGTGAGAATGGTATATATAGAGGAAGACCAAATAAACGAATTAAAGATGCAGCTGCCATTGGAAGAACAAATGCATCTGTGGAAGAGAGCAGGAGATGGACCAGTTTGAGCTGCTTCTTATGCGATATTGTCAAAAAACGTGATTACATTAAAAACAAGATATTTATTTAGTAAAATTGTTACATGCATGCATGGAGAAATTCAAGTAGGGGCCGTTTTGTTCGGAATAAGGATGCCCTGAGATTATAATCCTATAATTATTGTAATTTTGAGATTATTGGTCCAGATCCTATATGAAATAGATAATACTAATATTTTGGTATAAATTTTTAGCTAAAACCAATAATTAAACACATGATAAATTATACAATTCCAAATTTTATACCGAAATTAGTGTCCAAATCCGGTATTTAACTTGGGAATATTGCATTTATCCACCGATTGTTTTTTGGTATTAGCTAATTGTTTGCAACTAATTTTCAACATATGAAAAATAAATTGTAACCACAAAAGAATAAAGTGATTTTATTGATAAACATTGCGGGTTACAACTCTGTTTGTTCCCTTGATTTTTCTCTCCTGATTATCTCTTTGATTTGAGGGCTGAAGCCGCATTCTCCTTGATTCGAGGGCTGAAGCCGCATATTTTTCGAATGTAGGATGATGCAGACCTCCTGTGGATATATCTGATCTCCAGTTTCTTGAACTATTTGATTGTCAAGAAGTATCCGGCCATATTTTGATCTCTTTATGAATATCCTCGGAGTTTATGGGATTTTGAGACACATCTTCAAGGGAATATGTATCCCTTTATATATGTGTGAATTAGGGTTTAGGGTAGAGTAACCTCCAAGAAACTCTAATAGACTCCTAGAATTTCAAGAGTCTTGTAGTATCTTTAATTTAGGATTTAGCTTGATCCCTTAAAATTTCGATGTCTACACTAATACCAATATGAAATTTAATTTATATCAAAATCTTGGTATTATCTATCTCATATATAGGAAGTAAAATTTTAATTATGAGATAACCTTGTTTTGAACTGAACGACCCCTAGTATTCCTGTGGTTCAAATGTAAAGAGTCAATTAATTTCTATGATGTTTTGGGACCCTACTGTTAAAACTCTTCTGGAAAAGAAATTTGCCATCTCATAAAATGATATTTATATTCTGAATTTACGATGACCTTCCTCCTTCTGTTTATGAGGGGGCGAAGAATGCAACAATATTATTTTCTTCCATAGCTTAAAATTAGAAAACAGCCTCAAGTGTCTTGGCCGTACGTTCCTGAACACACCCCCATGTACTTTAGGTAAGGAGCATACGCATGTTAGTCTAAACGGTGTCATCCCACACTATTTTACCGAAAAATATTATTACTAATATAAATATAAATGATGTACGCAAAAAAATGGTACAGGTAAAATAAAATGACATAATTTACAAATAGTAATTCCTAGTTCACTGGTTAAGTCCTTATTTTCCTAACAGCATTGGGGGTTTACAACCTCAGCCATGATTTATCTTTCATTAATTAACCCTCCTTTGAGCACCGATCGCTCGTTGTTATGTGTTCAACCCTTTCTTATTAACATAATAAACTGCATTAGCTATCGATGTTCCCTGGCTATAGTTCTATCTATATACAAAGTCAGTCATGGGATTTTCAATCTGATGTCTACCTCCTTTCCTTCGTTCGAAGACAACATCTGCATACCAAAGGGATAATCTTACCTTTTCTTGAGTGCATAGGTCATATTAATATTTCAATTTCGTTGTTCGATACATACTGTCATATAAAATATATTAGAACAAATGTCAACTTTCTTTCTTTGTAATCTGAATAAATATATGGATGGGGAAACGAATCAATATACAACCTAACATTGAACAGTAAAGAAATACCGCATTTAACTACTCAACGGTTGGAGAGGGTAGAGTTCCAGAAATTCGTCGGATGTTCAGTAAAATTAATGAAGGAATAAATGTAATTAATAACATATTATATTAAAAAAATGTAAAGGCGTGAGGTCATCTTGCTTAGATCCAACGGTTTAGATGGCATAGGCTCC